TTTTTTATTTAAAAAATTTATTTTTTAGTTCTTAAAATTTATTATTTGACATATTTCTAATCTCTTTGTTATTTTTTTACACCTATAACGTATTAAATGATAAACATTTTAAAGTAGAATGACAAAAAAAACTAGAAAAAAACTTATTTTTAGTTCCCCTTCTTCAAAACAACCTCTTTTTGATTTTTTTTACTTTAGAATTTCTATTATGTAATGCGTTATATGTATATATATATATAAAAATAATGGATGGACTCAAAAGATGTTAGATGATAAATTTTAAGGATTTAAAAAGAGATTTCTTAACTAGAAAGATTAAAAAAAAACTTTTTAGTAAATTAAAAATATATCAAAATAATATTTTAACCATTCCAATTACAACGACCCTACAAGAGCGCAAATTTTTAGTATAATACAAAACATTACTAGACATTAAAGCATCATAACTAAAATCATAGTATGGTTTCATTAGATGTAAGAAAATATTGTATTGGAATCATTTTCCATTGTATTTATTTTTCTGTCTATGACATGACAATGCATGTCTGCAACAACCTACAGCCAAGGGCTTATAAAACTGAATTCTGATTAGTACGCCTCCCTGTTTCCTTCATCAAACTCTGCTGGACTTTCGAAAACACTGCAACTTTCAGGAAACCAAGCTGTATGGGCCCAAATGACAAAATAATGCTGCTTTGTCCTATACATACATAGATATATATATATATATACAGCTTTCCTTTCCATTTTCGTTAAGTTGTAACCATGAAATTGCAGGAAGAAGCTTTTGGTTCAAGATGGAATAGACATGCGCATATGCTATATCCCTTCTGTCTCATTTTATTTGTCATATATATATATTTTTAATTTTAAGTTGCATAATTAAAAATAATTCTCTTATATCCTTTCAAGCTACCCAACTTATATATTAAGTATTTTGTACATGTACGGAAGCTTGGTTAATTTGGGCTAAGGTGTTGTATTGGTGGGGTATGGAGGCTGTAGTGCCGAATAAAGTGGGGGGATTAATGGATTTGTTTGCATATGGGTTGGGTAGGGTGATAGGGAAGGAATTGGGAGCTTGTATTTTTCTTGTGACTGCATGGTACATATGGTTTTGGAGGAATTGTAGAGTTTTTAAAGGAAATGGGATATCAAGGGATGAGTTATTGGAAATGATTCAGGCAAAGATTTTTTGCTGGGTAAAAAATAAAGTGCAGGGATGTGTCTTCTCATTTTGTGACTGGAAGCTCAACCCGTTGGAAGCTGCTGCAGAAATAAGAAATAATAGAAGGCTGCTGCGGGAGTTCCATTTGAAACAAAAGGGGAGGGTATAGTGGGGCTGCTGGGTGGGTCATTGTCCAGCTCACGTATGTGGCCATGGAACTGGTTGTTGGCATAGTTTTCTAAGTCCCAATTCTGCAGATTGTAGCCTAATTTATGTATATGGGTTAGAGTACCCCTTGTACTCTGTATTAATATCATTATATTCATTTTGCTGATCAAAAAAAAAAAATCAAAATATTTTATTTTCACTAAGAATATAAGAAAAAATTATCATTAAATTATTTAAATTATTAATTATTTATCATATTTTTTTAGAAAAAGATATAGCATTTTACTTTTATTTTTTGAAAAGAGTATTTTCTGAAGATATTATTTACTTTTCAAGTGAAGTAGTAAATAATCATGGCATCATTTCGATTAGTAAGAACATGACCCTTATTATAGAAGCTACTAAATATTGTTCGCGACTTGTGTGTATGGCCAAACAGACACAGGATCTCAACCGTAGATTACAGACATACATTGTGTAATTTGGGATTCGGCTGCTAAGCCATGGCTACACATCTTTGTAGAGGGTCTATTTTGCAGGGCACGCCCAATAGATGAGTCATGACCCAGCAGGTCCAGCCCAACAAGCATCTCTGATAATTCCGAGTAGAC